CCAGGTTTTAATTCATCCTCATGTGATTGCTGAACATTTTAGGGACAGGTGATGCATATCTTTTAACTGAAAGTTATAAAGTATACACAACAATACAGATGATATTTGGTCCACTTACAGTAGTAAATAAATGATTCTTCATGGAAGTACACCTGTTTCTGCTGTTGCCATTTTTATGATTAATCTGTTTTGTTTTGCTTGGTTTTGCTCTTGTTTTGTTCACATGGCAACAGTGGAAATCTGACGATACTGAAGTCATAAGGCTAATCATATCAACATGCCACTCAGTCCTTGAAACATCAGTTGCAATCCCCATAATCAGACATAATAAGCAAAGCTTAAGCCACTTTCTAATTAATACACTCAGTATGCTTTTTCTCCCGATAGCTTTTTCCCCCCCAAATGTTTGTAACTCAAATATCTTGCCAGATCTTCAAAGGTATCTCCAAATGAGAACCCTAAAGTAACGAAGGACAGTTATATTGTTCCATGTTTGAACAGGAAGTCTGTAAGCTGCCAGCTTCTACAAGATCTGGTTCTTTGTTTCTATTGATTGCACTTGTTCCCAAGCAGTAACTTTTTGTTGCTTTATTAAAGAATAGGGTTTATTAATTTACTGAGCTTCCATTAACTCAGCACTGCTGTGTTCAGCCCATGTGGTCTATACATGCTGGGGATTTCAGACTCCACTAAAATATTTAAAGGAGTTGGCAGAAATTATAGAAATGCACTGTATTAGCACTGACTACAGGGGGTTGAAAATGGAAACTCATGCAGTAGCAATTTTTTGGGGCTACATGAAATATATTTTTGGCTTTTTTTCTGAAGTACCAGATTGGGAGGCTAAGGTTCAGCGTGGGTCTATCACAGGTTAGATAATTCCATTTTGAATTGTAATAGGAACAATATCAATGATTTAATTCTAAAACACTGTCAGCATCTGATAGAAGAAAATATTTGTAGCTCAGGGGTTGAACTGTGGGGTACTGGGTGCTGTCTGAGCTTGGTAGTTTTCTTGCAGATGTTTCTAGTTTGGTTACCTACCCAAACTAGGTAACATCATCATGAAATACTGGAAGTCATGATGATATTACCTAGATTGATAATAAAACATTTGCAAGAAAACCACCAAGCTCAGAGAACATCAAGGACCCCACCGTCATCATCTCTTACTGTGCAATGTTCTTATATTTGGTGAAGATTCTAGAGACAATGTATATATGGCAAATAGTGGTGAGAATTATAATCCAGAACATTTAGAGGACATCCTATGATTGTAGAGACTTGTTGTTCTATCCAATGAAAGCTACAAATCCTTTGTATCAGTAAACCATATCTGGACTGTAAGAATCAGGGCAACTACCAAAAGAAAAGTCTAACTCTTGTTGCCATCTATTGACTGTCCAAATTTCTGTGGCCCAACTATGGGAGGATTCTTTTTCTAGAGGTAAGGCTCACAGATACATTGGCATGGGAGAAAGCATAAATGAACATTACATCTACTATAAATCAGTATTTCTCATCTTCAGCAATTTTAAGATGTTGGCTGGGAATTGAAGTCCACACACCTTAAAATTACTGAGGTTGAAACCACTGGTCTGTATAACTGCAAACTTGCAGAGTAATTTTGAATAAAAAGTCGAATTACAAACCTTGTAATTGGACAGGTTTGGGCTCTCTAATTGCAGAGCTACTTTTCAAATGTATAAATACCTCCTCCTCTGGAGATAACATGTAACTAAAGGTTCCTATTTTCCAAGGGATTTAAAAAACAATCTTAGTTATGTTTCTCTATGAAAGGCAGTTCTAAAATATATACTGGAAGAACCAAAAGAGTTTGCCCTTTTTGCACTCATATAAATTTATTACATTCAAATTCCATGATTCTGAGAAAATAAGATTATATATGTAAACTTTTCACTTACTGTTTTGTGTTACTAATTATAAATATGCTTTTTTCCCGGTACTTCAAGGTATGTTAAGGGCACAAAGCTTTGATAGCCACAAGATAAACTCTGTTGAGGTAGAGAGTTCTGTATTTGGTTGTTGTATATGAAATTTTAGTGGGCGTAGAATGTGGAGAATTAATATTTCAGTAATACAGTCTAGAAAAAAGTAAACTTATTTACCTTTTTTAAATGAAGGTATATTTAATATATCTTGGGATTTTTCCTTTCAAGTTTAAAGAGATATCCTGCTTGTATCTCGTATGATGAAAGTGTAGAAAATGATTTATTGCTAATCTGGTATCTGATGCATTTCAAATATGAAAGTTCTATCCCACAGTAAAAAAAAGGGGGAATGGAGGAGGAATCCAAAAATAACCTTCCACTCTGATTTGTTGTGATTTGTTCTCTTCCAAATTACATCTAAGTCAATAGGACTGATTCAATAATAGAACATATTTAAAAAGAAGCATTGAGATTCAGATAGCTGCTCATAAACTTTGTTCTGAGTAACAGGTGATTGCCATCTTGTTTCAAAGTTACTAGGAAGGCCATCATGTAAGTTATTGTTGGGGGAATCAGTAAAATCAAGATGGCAATCATAGCTATGTGACTGAAGACTTTTTTGCATGTGTGTCGACAACATATATACAATAGTTGCATTTAGATCTCATAGTCATGACTAGCATGACATTTTGACACACACACACACATTCCTAGGATACCATATACACATCATCATTTGACTTTGCATATGAAGAATTTGTGTTATCCATTTCATGTGCACATGAAATCTCTGCATTTAATTCAGAATTTCTTCTAATGCTGCCACCAAACTCTAATTTCTAATGTGACAGAGAAAAGTTATTAAACCTGTGGAGTTAGAAAATTATTATATTAGCTGTATCAATTTAACATATTTAAATGAAGTGGAATTCTAATTACATCTTGGAATGGCTTGCTACACATTTACACATGCTACACATTGGAACAGCTTGCTACAGATTTATTAAATTATTTAAATTTATTGGTTGCCCAACTCCAATGCACTCAGAGTGACACCAGAATTAAAAAATAAAAAAAACAGCTAATGATATTGAAATGCCTAATAACAAAACCCACAAAACAAAACAGAAGCCATTAAACAAATAGAAAACGTCAACCCCAGTCCTAGGACCAAAACCAGGTTTTCAACCCAGGAGAGATGGTGCCATCCTTATTTTTAGGAGGATGTTATTCCAAAGGGTGGGGGATGCAATAAAGAAGGCACACTTCCTAGGTCCCACAAGAAGGCAGCAATTAATGGAGAGGACATGGAGCACACCCAATCTGCTGGAACATACTGGGTTGGCATAAACTATAGGAGACAAGCGGTCTCTCAAATATTCAGGTCCTATGCAATACCAGGCTTTATAGGTAACAAGGATCACATTGAATTGTACTCAGAAGCCAACTGGCAGCCAATACAGTGCGCATAGCAGTGATGACACATGGGCACACTGAGAGTTCCCCATTACTGCTTATGCAATTGAACTTTCAACCAGTTGTAGCTTGTGGTCTTCAAGAGAAGCCTCCTATAGAGTGCATTGCAAAAATCCAATTGCGAGGTGACCCGGGCATGAGTGACTGTCTGAAGGGTGTCCTGATCAAGGAAAGGGTGCAAGTGTTCTGAAACCACATATATGCATAAGCCAAATTATAACTTTTACGCTACTGAGTATTTTAAATTGTTTTCATTTACTGAAGCAACATAATTATATAAAATATTGGGAGCCAATTTTCCTCAGGGAAGAGAAACCAAATATTATTTGCTATGGTTAACCTCTTACGAAAAAGTTTCCATATTCCAATATTTAGACCAACTTCACATAGCACATATAACTCGGGCACATACAGATGTCCTACTTCTCTCATTTTAATTTTAGTTAAGATACTTATCTGTATTCTGGTATTTTGCTAGTAGTTTTCTTCCAGCCTGTGATTTCCCCAAGTTATAATGAATTTCAATTTCCATCAAGTTCTTTATTTATTATTTCCATCTTTAAATAATACTTTAAAAATGTTTTAAATGAGAGCTGCCAGATCTGGACTGCAATAATTCAAATGAGCACTACAGGGAAACAGAGTTAGAGTTTTCTCCTTGCTGACAACTAGTGGTGGACCCAATTTTTTAATATATTTTTTTCAGGAAAGATTATAGCTCTGCATCTGCTGTCCCTTTCACTATAGAAATATATGCCTAAATCCAGAAAAGACCATTATGTTCTGCTTAAAAGCAATCAGAAACAGTTTTGGATGGACTGGGTTGGGTAGCATACTATGAGGTTTTCAAAATCAGGTTTTCGAAGTTATAGACTCAATATATCTGGAGGTCAGTAGATTGAGAAATCTGCATTACTCTATGGGTGTAGTGGAACTACTAGCTGTCCAGGGGCCATGAGTTTCCTGTTTCTCTATCTGCCCTTGTTGGCAAGACATCACAAGGTCCTTATAGGAGATCACCGCTTCTGCTGCTGGCTTCATTGTACATTGATTTCTGCAGCTAATTGAGCCTATTCTGAAAGGCATCTAGAAATTAAACTCTGGATGGGCAGCTTGTATGATGATATTGATGCTTTCTTTAAGGAACCTGATGACCTTGTAATGGTAAAACTGTTCCCAAGAATACTGATTCATTTTAATTGGTAGCAACAGTTAAGGGGTCTATTCGTTCACGTTTGCTATCAAAGGATCAATCTATTCAACTTTAAATGCATTTAGTTTTAATCGGTGCACCGCAAATACTCTTTCAACAAACTCAAATATTAATAAACCAACAAACTATAAGGTTATGTTGACAAAATACCTAATTTGGGTACCAAATTAATCCATTGCTGGCTTTATAAAATATATTGAATAAATTAATACATGGTTGGATTTGCGCAACAAGCTATCCCACAAAAAATAAACCAAGATTGTCATGCATCAGGTGTCACATTGGTCTAAAAACCTCAGATGATCTTCCTTCAAAATGTGAACCCAAAGGTAACATGCTTACTGTTTGTTTTTTAACAGCCCACATACTGGAATGCAAGCATATTTCTCAGATGTGCCTAAGATTCCTACCGCCTGTATTTCCATTGAAGATGCAGAACTGATGGCCCGATTGTTCTCCCGGGGTACTAAGATAGTTGTAACTCTGAAAATGGGAGCCAAAACATATCCTGATGCTGATTCCTTTAACACAGTTGCTGAAATAACAGGCAGTAAATACCCTGAACAGGTGAGTGACATTTTGTACATTTCATGCTTGGGGAACAAACTGAAAATTCTCTGAGAATGACCACCCTCCTGCTTTCAAAATCATTGGAATGAACTGAAGTCTGATGTTAAAAATTAGAAAAATGAAATTGTTTTGCCGTGGCAAGTTAATTTCCACAGAGTGATTTTTTTCCCTCAGTGTCTTCATCCTCAGATCTAACAGTCAGTAGATCTTTAGACTAGACTAGACCATTTAAGAGAAGAAAAAGAAAATAAGAGGAACATCCGCTTTTGGAGACCTCTAGAAAGAGTATAGACAAGAGCAATAAAGTTTATTAGGGGGACAGGAGGCTAAAACATAAAGAACGGTTTCAGGAATTGGGTATGTCTAGTTTAATGAAAAGAAAGACTAGGGTGACATGATAGCACTGTTCCAATATCTCAGGGGTTGCCACAAAGAAGAGGGAGTCAACCTATTCTCCAAAGCTCCTGAAGGCAGGACAAGAAGCAGTGGATGGAAACTAATCAAGGAGAGAAGCAACCTAGAACTAAGAGGAAATTTCCTGACAGTTAGAACAGTTAATGAGTGGAACGATTTGCCTCCAGAAGTTGTGGATGCTCCAACATTGGAAGCTTTTAAGAAGAAATTGGACAACCATTTGTCTGAAATGGTATATAGGGTTTCCTGCCTGAGCCACGGGTTGGACTAGAAGACCTCCAAGGTCCCATTCAACTTTGTTATTCTGTTATTCTGTTCTGTTATTTTGCAATATAGCACTTTACACTTGTTAGTGGAATGTAACAATTGGAATTACTAGTAATCAATTCAAGTTGGGAATTATAGTCCAACTGGACTGGATCTGTATATTAAATATTTGAGAGAAGATTCATAAAGTTGGTGTTTTACCTTTTTATCACAAAGAAAGAGTCATATTTGCCATATATGATTATGCATATGTACCAACAAAAATGATTGTTATGATTTAGTTTAAAATATGGGACATGTCACATATTCTTAGTCTTGCAAAAATTTCATGCATTTTTGTTTCATTACAGAAACTGGGAAGTTAACTACAGTTGCTTTAAAATCTTTCTAAAATTAGCTTCCAGCTAATCTGAATTTTGCAACAATAGCTAAGCCTATTAGACTACTCTTATCTTCTTTTAATTTTATCTTTAATTTTACCTAGCAATAACTTTGTTACTTTTTAACTACCTAAATATTGAACTTTAGTGAATCTTTTTAAACCCAGGAAGGGGTAGATTTTCCAAATGTCTTTAATAACTAATAAAGCCACATGATACTAAACAGTAAGTATTCTCTCAAGAGCTATCTGGTTCTTCACATTGCTATACTTCAACATAGCAGTGGCAACATGTGCCTGATCTTATCTAAACTTGGAAGCTAAGCAGAGCCAGGTCTGGCTAGTTCTTGGAGGAGACCCATCCTGAGAATTTAGGTTACATGTCAATAAATATCCTAGAAGCAGACAGTGGGAAAGCCCTTCTGTATTATTGCCAAGATTTGTCTGTGAAGTCATTAGAAGAGCTGCATTTGAAGAAGACCATTAACTTAGTCAACATAGTTTAAGAGGTATTAATTGATATGCCAGTTGTTTTGGATTTATCTTCAAAGATTTAGATTGGCAATTAGTTTATTCATGATTTTTTAGTTAGGTTTCATTGCTTTGAAAAAGAACTGTTTTATATTTGTAATCATTTTAGTACAGTAAAGACTGCACAAGTTGAATATCTGGCATGCATGGGATGATTCAGCTCTGAAATATAGATCATCAGGGCTGTACAATTCCTTTCAGAATGAGAAAAGCATTTGGCTTTTAAATGGTGTGTCGCTCCAGAAAATAAGCCAGGCCAAGCCAACAAGTTGGATGGACCACAAACAAATTCAGTTTGACTTAATTTAATTAAATGGAGCTAATAATATACTGTATTTAATAATTTTCTTCTGCTGCATTAAAAATTCTAATGCAGGTACTGAGATGTCAAATACATATTTTAGGCTGCATGTGGCCTGGAAATTGGATTTAGGGCAATTATAATCTGTCTTTCATCTTGAAATGCTCCTAGTGTAGTTTTCAGGTCAATAAGGAGAAGCAATCTTTGTCTTCAGGTTTTGAATCTAAGAATACACAGTACAAATATATTATAAGGAAATGAAAATAACAATAGATTCCAGAAAGGATTTTAAGCTTTTCTCCGAGCAAACTAAAAGAGCGAGATGACTAGTTCAGGAGAAATTAAACCTGGTGGAATTAGCTTCATAAGAAGGTTGATGGTGGCATTCTCTCTTTCACTCCCTCAACCATAGGACATTAATTAACTATAATCATCACTGGTGAGAAGCAAACTCTAATGCAGAAAGAATTACTCTATTCCAGTGGTCTTCAAACTTGGCCCTTTTATGACTTGTGGACTTCAACTCCCAGAATTCCTCAGCCAGGCATGCTGGCTGAGGAATTCTAGGCATTGAAGTCCACAAGTCATAAAAGGGCCAAGTTTGAAGATCCCTGTTCTGTTCAATGCCTTCACACAATATACTAAGCTATGTTTTGCATAAACATGGCTCAATGAATAAACCAACTTTAGCAGGGATTGGGAGCAGCAGAAAGATTTCAATTTGGAAAGATGGTGCAACTATGGAATTAAAATCATGGACTCCCAATATGTGTTCTCTTTTTGTTTCTGAACTGACACTGCACTAATGTAACGCAAAAGATTGATGAAAACTATTCTTGTGGTAGTGATTTCCTATATGTTGCATGATGTTTTTATTATTTCAACTTTTCTTTTTTTTTCTTGTCCTTATAATTGTCCCTTCCTTTACATTTTTCCTTATTAAAAAAAACTGTATAACATTTATAAATACCACACTTTATTGAATATTAATAAAGGCAGTTTTGATTGGAACAGCGTACATCCTGCAGCGATATCTTTAACCCCATCAAACAACCATCTCTGGCAGATCCCTGGGAAGGCCTCAATAGGTGGATAAAAATGGAAAATCCAGTCTAACCATCTGGCTGACTTGATGACCATAATTTATTAAATGTATACGCCACCTGACTCCCAGCAATTCTGGGTCGGTTGTAAATTGTTAAAAACATTTAAAAACACCATTCAAGAAACACAAAACAAAGAAACAAAGATGGCAGAGAAAGCAAAACTGGGAATAAGGGAAAGGAAGAAAAGGGGTATCAATTGTCTTCACCAAAGGCTTGGGTAAAAACCCACATTTTCAAGATCCCCCGAAATCTCAGTTGGATGGAGGGGGTCATTTGAATCTTGAGAGGAATCTACAGTTATCAGGGATAAAGCCATAAATCATAATTTAGAAACCACAACAAATGACTTCACATGACATTAAACCAAAAACAAACAGACCATGATATGGCTTAGTGTAAATCAAACTTGTCTCTTGGTTGTTGTTTTTTTACTACCCTATTTCTCAATGTGTTTTACAAACTAAATGGATGCAAGGATTATATTTCTAGCAGTCCAGGGTCATTAGTCTTCTCTTTCCCCATCATCTGAAGGCAGAGTAGGACATTAGCCTGGAAAAACAATCCATGGTTAGAAAATAGGGAAAGATGTAGTATTTTATATATTGTATTACCAAAAATCCATCATTACAGTTACCTCCTCCAACAACAATTTCAGGATCCAGATTTATTTAGGGTCAGGGCACGTAATATCTTGAATCTTTTAAAGCTTGATTTCGTAAACAGAGTCCATGTTGTAATGAAAAAATACACATCATAAAAAGGTGGAATGTGTAGCAGTACAAGAAGATTTGTGTCTTGTTCTCACAGAAATCCAGACTGTCTAGACTTCTGCTTCTCGTAAAGGAGGACAGATCTCACTCAGACTATTTGCTAGCATTCCTGCTTCAGGCAGGAACAGATCAAACCACTGAAACTATTTAGAGCATGGCTTTCAAGTTCAGTACTGTGATTTAAAATCTCCTTGAAATGTAAGTTCCGTGTATATTTTCACTCCCTTATTTGTTTTTTTTTTAATGAAACATTTTAGCAGTATTTCAGCCACTTCTGAGATGACATCATTCCCATTTAAAACTTATGCAGCCAAAAGGAACCACTCCATGTAATGAACTCAGCAGAAAAACCTCATCCCATTTCTTTATCCTTTTTCTGTTGCCATATATATGATTTAGATTGTTGAAACGCTGTTGTTGTAAATGTTGAAAATACATGTTAAAAATGGCAAGAATGTGTACATGGAAGCTTTGGGGTTTTCTAAAAACCAAGCCAGGGTTTAGTCATGAGTTCCTAGCTCTTCTTTCCCTGGGACTGCTGGACTCAGCTAGGAAGCCCTGAGTCACATCTGGAGCCCTGTTTGTACTAGATCAGCAATGGCCTTTGAACCTTTCCCAAAATATATGGGGAGAGGGGAAATGAGAGAGAGAGAGAGAGAGAGAGAGAGAGAGAGAGAGAGAGAGAGAGATCTAGGGTACCATTTTTTTCTTATTATGACCCTGTAGTCCAGACATGTCAAATTTGTGACATCACATGACGTCGCACGACATATCAGAACTTTTTCTCTATTGCCGGCAATGGGGTGGGCGTGGTTTCCTCCTGACGCATCTGGCCCGCAGACCGGCAGTTTGAAACCCCTGCTGTAGTCCCTAGAATCAGGGCAACTGGATGGATGCCCTTCCTGATGCCTATATGGAGTTCACAGCAGATATTTTTTCTTTGTGTCCTTAGAGAGAAACATCTGCTGCTATCTAGGATTGAACTCTCAACCTTCTGAGTGGGAGGCTAGTGTCTTCACTACTAGGCCACTTCAAGTTTTAAACTGCCAGCACAGTGATACAAGCTGATTTGCTGTGTAATTTGCCATTCTCATAATAAGAGAATTTCCCTTAACATGATATAACTTCATCAGTAAAACTGATATGCATTAAATTTATCTGACTATAATTCACAGCCTTATATATGAAGACATCCCACTTTGTGTGGTTATTTATGTCATATTTCAACT